AAAGTCGACTAGTCTTGCTCACATGGTGTTCCTTTGAAACTTTTGAATGAGATAAAGCTCTTACAAGCTTTATCATAAGAGGGACCAAGTTTCAGTTCATTAACACACAAACCAAAGGATGATGTCTAGCTGAGCTGCTTCAAACTGAAAGCCACAGGAAAATCAAGTTATTAGAGAACGATGAGAATCACCAATGAGATCGACCTACAAAGCTCTTGAACAAGTTTTTCACGCAATAAAATTCATCACAGCAATGCAAACTATCAGGATGGACTTGTTCAAACTAGTGACAAAATTAGTGGCTTTTATAGCATAATCGACGGTATTGTTTTCAACTTATTCCAACGCCAAAATAATACGGTTGCAGTGGTCGATATTTCTCTGTTTTATTGATCATGAACTCAATGTCTAATATCGCCAGAAAAGCAATAAAATGAATAACAGTCATGCAAAGCTGTCGTTGCTCTACTTTATGTGGAATAATGGACACAAAGGGAAATTGTATAAAAATGTATGCCTTTTAAATGAACGTTGAGGAAAATATCAATTATGAGTTATATCGAGGCTATTTTGAGGAATGAGAAAAAGTAATGTAGATACAAATATATTATTCCAACTCAGTTAAAATCAAGCCTCACTTTGCCGAGCCAATTCGTCCATAATGACTGTCTTGATGAACATAGCAGCATCGCTTTCCCTTGCCTTTTCGTGAATGCGGACAAGACAGTCGGCCAATTCTTCTTTGTCCTTGGCCGGCAGCCTTGGTTCCAGATGGTCAATGATCTCACGATAATTATGAATAGCTTTCTGCAGTAAATAAGAGGAAAATAGAAATGCTTGTTAAATGTAACTATGGTTAAGCTTTCATATATTGTTCACTTTAAAAGCGATTCAAAATGTTCTTTATATTTTGACTTATTCTTTTACACAAGTTATTGAAGTAATCAATACATTATGTGCACTAATTAACGTAATATACTGCTTCTTGCTAGTTTGATACTCTAAGAATTGTATATACAATTGAGTTACTTTGCTAAATATTACTTGCAATATCTTATGGATTGCATTAATTTTATTCAAACATATGTTTTTACTCTTATGAATATATTTTGAGATAAGATATTGTAGGATAAACGTTTTATATAAATTCCGTGCTAAATAAAGTGAAAAGATTTTAAGTGTGGAAACAACGGAGCTTAAACTAACTAAGGTGGCTTTCTTTTATACATAAGTGCTTTTTCTATTTACTAAACATTTCAAGTCGTAAAAAAGACTTTTCTAAATCCTTCTGATAGCTCCAATGTTTAAGACTTCTTCAGTCGGTTATTTAAATAATTTGCTGAGTTTCTTATATATGTGTTCAAAATTTATGAAGTTGTTTATCAAAGAAGTCCATGCAGCAACATTGGCTTAACAATCTATAAAAG